CCCCTGGTGGGCCATGAGACACTTTGTTTACCTGAGCATCCACAGGTACGGCTGCTTGCAGCACCCAGTGGCCATGGTTCACTGTTCCTGGCCATTGGGAGCTGTGGGAAGCGGCGCGGGCCAGGCCACCGCTTCCTGCAGCTCCCATTGGCCAGGAACGGTGAACCATGGCCACTGGGTGCTGCAAGCAGCCGTACCTGTGGATGCTCAGGTAAACAAAGTGTCTCGTGGCCCACCAGGGGCTTACCCTGAAACAAGCCGCGAACCAAGTTTGGGAACCCCTGCCTTACTTAGGATTTCTTCTGTGCCTGGTGTGGTTAGAAACATCTAGTTATTACCCTTAGCCCTGCCAGCCATGGATTTTTCCCTGATATCTTTAGCCTTCATTATCAATCTTCTACCCTTCATAATTTCTAGTTTATACTGATTGTGAGCTACTTCCCCTTTTTCCATACGTTATATAATGTTTCTCCTTTCTAACTGCTGCCTTTGTAACACCGACAGACCCCAGTCATCGGCGGGCGGGATCAAACCTGGCACCTCTGGAGCTATATGGGTTAGCTAACAGCCATATGGCTTTTAGCTAAGGTTGTAGAGAGCAAACTCATTAATCAATCTCTCTAATTGGTCTTGGTGCCACTAGATGGGATAGCCTACCACCACACCCAGGAGGCGTATGGGGCTCATACTTCCCCTAGCTGAGGAAGCGCGTCCCAAACTTCAGAGCCTGCCCAATTGAAATCCCAGACAAGCCCCCAATTGTAACGCTGACAGACCCCAATCATCGGGGGGGGGGGGGGCAGGATCAAACCTGGGGTCTCTGGAGCATTTCTCTCTCTCTAAGTGGTCTCAGTACCACTAGATGGGACAGAACACCACACCCAGGAGGTGTGGGGGTTACACCTTTGTGTTGCTTTTTAACCACTATGGGCTTTTAACCAAAGTTGGCCTGATTTGGAATTGTGGCTTTTTGACCATCTCAGTGGTGCTGGAACTAAGGGTGCGGCCGCACCCCCTGGTTTGAAGTAGTAATAATAAACACCAAATACATAGTTTCCACCAGCACCCCCCACTATAAAAATTGTTCCAGCATCCCAATAAACTCTACTTAACCTACTCCCAATTTTCATCAAATTTGCTATATGATTCCCCCCCCCCAATTTCACTCATAATTTTCCTCAGCTTTGGGCAGTTAGCCCATCTGAAGCACCATATATAAATTGGTTTGGACTGTTCAAAGTCATGAGGTGGTTGAGAGATGAGGCAATTGCTAATGGAAAGCAGACTTGAGCAACAGCAATATATGATGCCACTGCATCCAAACACACAGCTCAAGGACCCTGTCTGCACACTGGGCTATGCAACCACCATGCCAGACCCACACAGCCCAGGACAGGTGCCTTTCGGAGTCCCCAGGTGTAAATCGCATCACGTGTGGCAGTAACTGGCTGCCCTATGGAAGGGGCGCGGCCGCGGCTTTGAGAGATGGGGGTCTAACCTGTGGGGGCGTGTCCACGGGGAGGGGCGTGGTGCCTACACACCTGGGAACCAATTAGGTGCTGAGGGGGCACTCCGCCTGTGTCCATGTAAATGAGCTCCGGGGTGGAATGAAGTCGCCGGCGGCACCGTAGGTGAGGCTGTTCCGGGCGGGGCTGTGCTCTCGTATGCGGTCGCCGCTTCTCGACTCTGAGGAGATCAGCTCGCTTCGTCTCCCGCTACAGGGCCTGCGCGAGTATTTGGTCCTCCCAGGCTAGTGAGGCAACCGGAACCGCGGGCCAGACAAGCCACTGGGAGTAGCTATAGAGAGCGGGGCCTCCGACATCAGGGAGATCCCCGACAGCCCGCCCACGTGCTTGGCAAATGTCTCCGAATCCCCTCTTTGGCTCCCCTGCCCTTGAGCGCTCTGTGCCGCCTCGGCTGGAGCCTCCGCCCAGCTCCCTGGGCCGGGCTTTCCGCGGCTTGGGGGCGCGCGGAGCGTTTATGTCCCCGACTGCGTCTTTGTGCAGGTGCTTGGGACGTGCCGCAGCTAAGCGGAGCCGGCAGCGTCGGCCCAGCCTGCAGCCGTAGAGGGACTCCGCGCGGGTAGGGACCGCGCGCTGGAGCGGAGTCTGGGGCAGAGGGAAGCAGGGACAAGGTCTCACTCTTCCCATGAGTGAGTCGTTCACGACGCTTGTCTTCACAGTAGCTCCCCAGGGCCCTGTGCTGCGCTCCGATCTGCACTGACCGGCTAACAGCGCTGGCGTTTACATTGTGCCATTCAGTTGCAGAGTCAACAGCCCTAGGGCGAGGAACCGGGTCGCTCCGAGCCGCCGACTGAGGCGCAAATTACTGCATCACGTATCCTCAGCTCACGTTTGATGGTGGCTGTGGGTTTCTTGCAACCAGGAGCGCTGGAGACAATTTCTTTTACAGTGGTAGCTGAGATTGTGGAGTACAAGGAAGCAGCTTCCATTCAATAGTACTGATTTGCTGAACTACTAGGGTGACCAGATGTCCCGATTTTATAGGGACAGTCCTGATTTTGAGGTCTTTTTCTTATATAGGCTCCTATTACCTCCCACCCCCTGTCCCGATTTTTCACATTTGCTGTCTGGTCACCCTATGAACTACTGCCCCGTGGCTGACACTTGATCAGCAAGCAGGGCCGGCTCCAGGCACCAGCTTAACAAGCAGGTGCTTGGTGCGGCACCTGTGGCAATTCGGGGGCGGCAGGTCCCTCACTCCTTGTAGGAGCGAAGGACCTGCTGCCGAACTGCCGCCACCGATCGTGGCTCCGCCCCCCCTCCCCCAATTGCCCCGCAGATTGCGATTCTGGCTTTTTTTTTTTTTTGCTTGGGGCGGCAGAAATGCTGGAGTCGGCCCTGTCAGCAAGGTCACTACATATACACAGGAGGGTACCAAAACTAAGCATGCATTTCTGTATCTTTCTGAATGTGTGTATAGATGATTACTGCAGCATTCTCTTCTTCAGCATCACCAATATCTGTTTCACCTTCCTCAGAGTGATCCAAAATATGCCTGATAATTCCTTGTCCTTT